ACTATTTTTCAAATAAAATTATTTGAAAAATAATTTTTATTAAATACTCCCCGTTGTTGTTTCACTTCTCAAAAATCATTTCATTGCAAGTTTGCAACACTATCTAGCGAATGTGCAGTTGTTGGCTAGAGATAATGATACTCCGTAGTCCTTAATAAACAACGTTGAACGATGACATCTTTTCTTTCTTGAATGAGTGAGAGAGAGAGAGAGATTCACTCATTGGATTTTTGGTTGGTTTGACTGCTCCATTCCTATGGACCCCCCACCCCACCCCACCCCACCCCCAACCCACCTCTGCAATCTTGCTTTTTTCTTCCTCAATAAAACTTGCTCTTTGCTTTTCTCCATTTGCGTATTTTGACTCGTTCTTTTAGGGCTTCTCTATTCCGCAGAGATCAATTACATTGTACTGGCAGCTTTCTCATCCGCAAAGATCCAGTCTTTATGCTTAAAGAGACCTCAAAATCAGTTAGATTTGCTGAGGTAATATGCTTTTCAATTATTTTCTTGATGTCACCTCGTCAGAATCTGAGGGAACTTCAGATTCTTGATAATTTATATGGCAAGAAAGCTTCCATTTCATATGCCCTTTTCTCTTGATTTTAATAAATAATCGTGTCTCTTTTTCTCTTTCTTGATTCATCAAGATTTAGCTAATTTATGTTTTTTTTTTGGAGTATGCTGTTAACTTTTAAGACTAGATTGTGTTAAAACAAGCAAAGAGAATTTATATTTGGATCTGGATTTGTTTAGTCTCTTGCTGATTCATTTGTCTTATGATGTGTTTGATGTATCCTAGATTCCTCAATCTTTTATCTATAGTTCTTTGTGGCCCAGAAACTTGAGGTTAGACCTGCCTCAATCTTGACATCTTATGCAATTCTCTCTGAGAATTTAGATGTAGAATGGGTCATGGGTGGATAGTCTCTGAGAATGTGTTGGTTATAGTTATATGTTCGTTCGATGTGAAGAAGCTTAAAAATGGGCTCTTACCTCTAAGAAAACAGCCTTTTGGCAAAACATGTCAGGGCAAGGCTGTGTGCATATAATGTGTTCCTGCCCCTACCGGACCACGTCCTTTATGTAAAGCTTCTTTGTTTGATCAATTAAAGGTGTGTGAAATGCTTTATGTGATATTTTGTACACTATGTTTGGTTCATGGAATTTGGAAGGAAAAGAAAAGAAAATGGTTTTCTCTCATTTTCCTCACCAAAATGGGAGGAATTTGGTTTCCCCTCTTAGTGCATTCTGTCTTTTCTCTTTTTCTTTTCCTTTCTAACCAAACAAGAAAAATTATTTTCCATCTCATTTTCTTTTCTTTTCCCTTTCAAATTTCTTGAGCCAAACATAGTGGTAAAGTGTACTGCTCCGTCAATATTTCCTTTTAACAAGGCGTCATCTTTGTCAGTGTTCAGGCCAAACAGGCTGGTTAGTCCTGGCTGCTAAGTAAAAGTTTGGGCTGATGATGGGGTGTTTCACTGTTTTGAAGAGTAAAAAGGAAAAGCCAGACAAGAATAGGACTAGCCATGCCAAACGCGTTAATCCTCAAGAACATTCGCCTACTGTGTTGCCCGAGCCCCAGACACGAACGCGGGCATTCCGGTCTGCCCCACCAAGCTTTAAAACTAGAGTGCGCTCTTCCCCATCAGGCATGGACGAAGCAGAACAAGACACCTTCATGTCAAATGATCCTCAACCTCTTCCTCTCCCCTCACCCCAAAATACTGCCATGCTGAAGACTATGGGAAGCTTTAAAATTATGAATTCAAGTGGGCGCTTCAATGCTTCCTCGGGCCCACTTCCACTGCCTCCCGTGTTGTCTTCTGCAGGAAACCTCCGGAACTTTTCTTATGAAGAGATTGCAGCAGCCTGCCACAACTTCACCTCTGGGCTATGCACGTCGGAAGGTCTTTCTTCTATTATCTACAATGCTTCCTTTGGGGATGATGCAATGAAGTTTGATGCAACTGTCACTCTTCTCAACCCATCTTCTCAGGTAATGTTTAGTTGAGAACTGTCTATAGCCAACTGTTTGAGACAACTTATAGTGGAAGTGCTTTCTCATTTATACACTCAAGGAATTGAAGACCTTTTTTCAAAAAGATCAAGTTTGCTGCTTTATTCAATAAGCACTAAACATGCTCTTTGTTACTACTAAATGCATTTCTTTTTCATTTTGCTTCCAAACACTTCTTTTTGAAGTAAAACTGTAAAATTACTTTTTGGAAAAACCCCCATTGTTACCCGCTTAGCCAACAAAAAAACAATGTCATTTGAAAATTAGTAAAATAGACCTTGTGTAATATTGTTGTCTACTGCCCCCCCCAAAGATGTTTAATATGAAAATAATTTACGGCTTTGAGAAATGTATTGAATCTGGATTTAAGTCAGAGTACAAGGGAGCAAAAAAAGTGATATCACAACAAAAATTATATCAAGTTTGCAACCCATGTGGGTGGAGTGAAACAATGGCATTAGCGTTTTGGCTATTTAATCTTCTCACAACTAAATTTTGAAACCCGTGGATTTTGTCAAATTTTGAAATCTTATAGTTGAAAGCACAGAAGGCCGACTCAACATACTCAGGTGTAAGGAAATCTTAATTTCAGACACCAAGTAAAAAGTACTCAAATAACTGAAAATGTTCACATGACTGGACCACCTACTTGCAATCCATCAGTACTCTTTTCCTTCAAGCACTGCTCATTTAAAACAAATAATTTCAAATGCACTCTTATTTATTGCTCTCCTAGTATTTTAGCTTCTGGTCACTCCAATATTCTCTTTTCTCTACCTACTCAGCTCGTTACATTTGGTACTTCTTTTAAAAGGATTATATTGCAGGAATATGTAGCTTTGTTTTTCTAGAGGTCCTATACCCTTCCATCTTCTTAACGGTACAAACCAAAATAGATTAAATCGGATGACCATTGCAAAATAGTTTCAACTTTCACTTTTAGAGCCTTTAATGCAAAGTAGTCCTATGTCTTATCCATCATGTCACGCAACAAAAATCTATGATCAAAGCCATCCCAATTTTGACTAAAATCTGTTTGGTTTCTCAGGGATTCAAGGAGTTTGTGACTGAAGTTAACAGACTAGATTCACTGCAATGTCCTTCACTTTGTAAACTAATTGGTTTTCATGCAAGGGAAGGATCAGTGCAGAGGATGTTGGTTTATGAACGGCTTTTCCACGGAAGCTTAGACGGGCTCCTATTTGGCAGATCTGGTGGCCCTCCCTTGGACTGGAATGCTAGAATGAAAATTGCCTTGTGTGCTGCACAAGGTCTCACTTTCCTGCACGAGGAAGGCCCTTTTCAGGTCATCAACACAGTTTTCTCAAAATTACTAATAGTTTAATAGCACCATTGATGCATTTACTACCCAAAGCTTCTTAGAAAGTCGGAGGGAAAAAAAGTTCAACGTGTCTTTTTTTTTTCTTCTTTTTTCTTAACTGATGCTTTGCAGACTTCTGTGCTTACAGCATATTCGTTTTGTATTCACAGGCAATGTTCCATGAATTTTCAACTGCAAATATACAGATTGACAAGGATTTTAGTGCAAAACTTTCAGGATATGGTTGTGTAACCCACATTCAAGAGACCAGCAGCATCTGTTCCAGTTCAGTTGTAAGAGCACACACTATCTATTCCATTAATTCCCCAGGCCTCTAAATTCACAGAAAACTAATGATTTACAAGTCTTTTTAGAAAAAATGAAATACTCCGTAATATAGTTTCATTTATTCAGGGAGTCGCAAATATTTCCGCAGAAGCACTGGAGAGGGGTTTCCCAACTCCTAAGAGCAATGTTTGGAGTTTTGGGATAGTACTTCTTGAGTTGCTCACAGGCAGGAAGAATCTGGACAGCGGTCATCCCAAGGAAGAAATGAATCTAGTGAAGTGGGCCCGGCCTTTTCTAGCGGATGATTGCAGGCTATCGCTTATCATGGACCCTCAGCTGAAAGGCCGGTTCCCAGCCAAAGCTGCCCGGACAATTGCTGATATTGCCCAAAGATGCCTGCATAAGGACCCCTCAGAGAGACCCATCATGAGAACCATAGTAGAGCAACTCAAGGCTGCACAAGACATGAAGTACCCTTCCCTCTTTCCACTTGAGGAGCCGGTGAGAGTGAGCATGAAGCACATGTCCAAGTCTCATAGTCTGAATGGGATTGTCTTTGCCCCTGCAAGACCAAGTCTTTCACCTTCACAGCCGAGCAGACAGCCCGTTTCTCCTCCAAGAAAAGCCGCAATGCCCTTATCTCTCAGATCAAGAACCTTCTCCTCTATCTCTTTGGAGGAGTTGCACCGGCTGGAGAGTCAGAGATCTGGGTCTTCGTCCGTGCGAAGATCCAGCGTCGAAGGGTTTTGATTGTTCATAAAAAAGTTCATTTTTTTTTCTCTCTTGGGAAGGATTTTTGCTTTCCTCTATTGGAAGGTGATTCTGAATGGAATATAGGAGATAAAGATTTGGAAAATTTTATGGGTCAAGCTAGCTTGCTTCATAGTGTTTTGTTTCCTCCCACCATGCCATTCTTCAAGTATGAAACTATGATGATGAATGTCATTACTATGTAGATATATATGTATGTATACCCTTGGATTTAATTAGTTTTCATCATATAAAGGAGGGATTATAGTTTCTCTTCTTGATTGGTGCAAACTCACCGTGTATTTGTATATGATGATGATAATGTTTTGGTTACTCTATGGCTAATTTTCGTTCTTGGAAGAACCTACCTACCTTGAACAAAAAATAACCTTCCATATGATTTCAAATACACTCCTCTGGGGTTATCGTTTGATCGAGATGCTTTCACACTTTTATCCTCATAGTGATTCGTTGAGGACGATGCTTGCTTTTGCTTTGGTAATTTCTTTTAAACAAACTTGTACCTCAATCATGCTACAAATAAACAAATTGGAGTACTTCATTTCCACACCAATTAACAATTGGAGAGCACAAATCTAATACCGTTCTTCGAAGGAGCCGAAGATCGCACGGAGCAAATGGAGCAGCGAAGATTGCAAGGAGCGATGAAGGAGCAATAATGGCGAAAACGATGGAGAAGCAAAGATCTACATGAGCAGCAAAGGTGATAGTGGCGAAGATGGCTGCATTACAAATCGGGAAGTCCCCAATGTTGAAACTCTAGATCCGACTATGAAGATTTCAGCAGAGAAGGGAAGGGTTGCAGATTTAAGAGGCTTAAGTGAAATGAACGGTAAGTTTGTTGACAATGAACACTACTTTATGTGAGATGGAGCACCACTTTATTTCAGAAAGAGTATAATATTATTTCAAAATTAACATTTATGTTTGTCTGAAAATGGATACTACTTTATTTAGAATTCAGAATGAGTTAGAGCCTGTTCTTTAAAACTTGAACTCTTAACTTCCAGTTTCTTCCCGTTCTTTCCAATTTTTTACAGTTCCTTCTAGTTCCTTCCAATTCCAGTTCCTTCCAGTTTTTTCCATTTTCTTCTAACTATTTTTATTTTCTTCAGACCTTTTCTACTTTCCGACAAATCACTCTAAAAACAATATATTATTAATAATAATATTATTATTCTTCTCATTATTATTGTTATTGTTATTGTTATTGTTATTATTACAACTATTATGTTCACTATTTTTATCATTCACTCATTATTATTTTTTGTTTAACTTTTTAATATGAATAATACTCCGTACCATTTTTTGTATATTAATCGACATGATAAAATAGGAAAACATTGATATTTTAAATTATTTTAAAAAATTATGGATAAAATAGTTACATAGAATGTTTTTTTAGTATTGTAAAAACTATACTCTGTATTTAGTATCTTCAATTAAGCTTAACTGGACTGTAGAATACTCCCTCCGTCCCGGAATATTCGTCCAGTTTTGACTTTTGGAACGGTTCATCTAAGCACTTTGACTCATCAAATTCTCTCAATGTGTAAACCTAAATATAGTCATGTGTGACCTTTTTTGATTTGTCTTAACATATAGATTATAAATATATAATTCCTATATTTTTTAATATACAAATTGCAAGATAAAATGGATTAAAGAAGTGTATTGGATGGTGTGTAAAAATAAAGTGGACAAATACTTTGGGACAGAGGTAGTATTAACTGTTATTTCATCTCTGATGGTGTAAATATAGCTGGGTGGGTCGACCGGATTTGACCTGGACACTCGACCCGTAATATAAAACACACCAAGAACACAAAGTATGACCTAGACCGGGTAAATCTCCTCAGTCCAAATTATATTTCTTACTCTGTCTCAAGAGTGTACTATTTTTAGTGAGAGAAATAATGGATCCCCTCCTCTATCCAATATCATCATATTTATAGAGGAGGATTTGTGACCTTCCCCTGTTCATCCATGGACAAAATGGAAAACCCGGAGGAAGGTCACTGTACATAATCAATTTACTATTCAATCAATGAATCTAGCAACTACAAGCCAAGACATGCACTGTTCAATCAAAGACTATAACATGGATATTCTCAATCCAATCAATCCTGCAAAACGCCAATCATTCCCTTCACTGTTTGCCTCGTGATGGATGAGCGGCGGGGTGTCCTCTAGCCTCTGATGTTGATTGCCCTTCTCAAGTAGCACAACCTGACCGGTCACCTTTCCTCAAAGGTTACCCGGTCATTTCTTGAGTTCAACCCATCTCTTTGGTCCTCTGGAATATCCTTCGCAACATTAAGTGGCGAATTGGCTATCGCCCAAAATGTGACCGGTCACTTTTTTAGTGGAAGTGACCGGTCAACTTTTGATCCGTCTCAATCGAAGAGTTAACATCATTTTGCGACTTGATAAAAGTGACCGGTCGTGTTTTGACCTGTCCCTTTCGGTTATCCGGGTCGGGTATAAGGATATACCCATCAAGAAGTCCTCCACTTACCGGCCTTGTGAGGAAATCATCAAGGGCGGGAAGTATACTTGTGTTGACCTATCACACTTTGAAATCATCAAGTCATTCTTGCTAACCAGTCCTTTCACGTCAACTAGTCTCTATCAGAACCTGTCCTTTTGAATCATCAAGCCTTACCCTCTAAGACCTGTACTTATTTGGAATCATAGTCATTCTCATTGACCTGTCCCTTTGAATCATCAGGCCTTTCCTTTTCAAGACCTACCCTTCTTTGAATTCATCAAGGGATTTTTGCTGACCTGACCTTTCGGAACATCAGGCCTTTCCTTTTTCAAACCTGTCTTTTTTTTTGAACTATCAAGTCATCAGGTCACCCTACCTGACCTGTCATTTTTTAGATCAAACCAGTCCCCTCTTACCTGTCCATTATTGGAATTATCAAGCCCCCATGTTAGACTCGTCCATTTGCATCTGTGGAGACCCAAACGTTGGGCCTCACCTTTCGTTTTTGTAGTTTTCCCCCCAAAAACCTTTCACCTTCCCTATTTAAAATTTGAATTTCAAACTTCATCATTACTCTTCCACGTGTCACGTCCTCGACCCCCCACCTGTCGCCTCGAGTTCCAACCCGCCCCTCTCTCTCCTATAAATACTCCTCCAACCCATCTCACTTCTTCTCTTCGCTCTCCCAACTTCCACCGGTCAGATTTCTCTCTCTAGCTCTTCGCCAAGTAAGTCCTCCAGTCCTCCTAGTCTTAATCTTTCCATTTTTGACCGGTAGGCTGAAGTCATGTCTTCTGATAGCCAAAACATATCTGGCCAATCCTATGGATCAGGCTCTCAGCCCTCTTCCTCTTCCCACTCTGAATCTTCTTCTCCCCCTGTCACTCCTTTGATTCGCCGTCCCTCTCACCAGTCTAGCTCTCAGGCCCGGGAAATAGTTGCCCAGGAGCCTGTCCCTTTGAACCAAATGCTCGGTCGCTTCGATCTTAAGGTCCTCAGCTGGGACCAGTGGGAAGAGCGATTGGGATCGCTGGGTTACCTAGCCCTTGACTCCGGACCGGTCTTCAAGGAGTCCTCTAGGGTAACCAAAAAGGTCCTGGCCGAGGTACGCTCTGTCCTTCCACCGGGCTATAAAGTCATTTCTAACACCACCTGGCCCAACATCATAGAACCCCACCAAGGAAACCGGTTGGGTTTTCACGTTGCTTCGCTAGAGGGGGGCATTATCTTTCCCCTTCGCCCCCTCCTCGTAGAAATCTGTAACAAGTTCAATATCTTGCCCGGCCAGCTTACTCCAAATGCTCACCGGTTTTTGAATTGTTTTGTAAATATTTGTGAATCTCTAAAAATCAAACCTTCTTTGGACCTCTTCTTTCATATGTATGATGTCTTGCCCGGGACTAGTAATTGCCCGGGCTTTGTTTACTTCCATTCCCGTGCCAACTCTAGGGGTTTTTTGACCGGTCTTCCCCCTAGCCACAAGAAATGGAAGCAAAGATTTGTTTTCGTTGAGTTTCCCCCTGACCAATTTCCCCTCTCTAACCGTGAGTGGGCTGACCGGGTTATAAAACCTGAAAGGGTTCACCCGGTGCCCACTAAAGAGCTTGAGGACGCTTGCGAGAAACTTCTCAAGGGTGATCCTGTGACCGGGAAACCTTATGCTTATGGGGGCTGGGTGTACCGGTTGTCCAACCCGGATGAGGGTATGTCTGCGACCCATGACGCAGAAGATGACCGGGCCAACTCCCCGGATGGTCATGCTGAGGGCAGTTCTCCTCATCCAGGTCGGTCAATCTCCCTTCACTTTTGATTTCAACTTTATTTTGTTAACTTGAAAAAGCTAACCGGTAATGTTTCGTTCCGTTGTTGTTCGTAGACATGGAATTCAACAGGATGACCACCATCATCGAAGATGACGACGATGATATTCAAGTCCTCCATTAAGACCGGTCTCCTCTTTCCAAGCCTCCTTCTCCTCCTCATATCCCTGAAATGGATGAGGCCACAAGTGCCCGTGTGTAGCCCTATCCATGAACTGAGCCAGGAGCTGAAATCTCCTCCAGCCAGCCATCATTCCGAGAGTGACCGGGCCAATCCCCCCAAAGTCCTGGTCAAATCAAGTGCTAAAGAGGTCGGTGCATCTTTTTCTTCAAAAGGCAAGGACCAAAAAAGGAAGAGCTCTCATAAGAGTTCCAGGGGAGGCAAGAAGAGGAAGATCAGTTTATCAGATAGGGAGGGGGAATCCATCGAAGAAACCTTCCTATCCCTGGCCAAAAAACTCAGCAAGGTATTTCATCTCCAGCTTTCTTCCCGGTTTATCTTTTTCCTTTGCTTTTATTGATACGCCTCCTCTTCTTTGAATTTGCAGGCCGGGGTCATTTCAGAGGAGATTGGCCAAACACTTTTGGAGCCAAAGGACCAGGTCTCCCAACCTAATCTCCTCCTTGATTCTGCTAAGTTGGAGATTAATGACCGGGCAGAAAGGGAGAGGAGGCTTGAGGAAGAGCTGAAGGAAGAGAGGGCCAGGTTAGATGAGGAAAAAGCCAAGTTGATGGAGGAGAAGAGGAAAGTGGCCGAGCTAGAGGAAGCTTTAGGACAGGCTGAGGAATCCCCCCGGGCAAAGGAGCAATCCTTTCCTGATGATGCTGCCAACTGGGCCGCCTGCCATCATGATGAAGTAGCCCGGTCCATCCTCACCAAACCGGAGGAGACCATGGACTTCTTCAAAGTCATGTACAAGGAGCCGGAAGGGAAGAGGATGATCACTGACATTGGATCTTACGGGTTCCAATGCGGTCAAAAGGAAGAGAGGTCCCTTCTTTATGCCAGACTTCAGAAGAGGGTCCCTTCCTTTGACCCGGTCAAGATGAAACTCCCAGCTTTGAATGAGGAAGTGCCAACTCCCCCCTTTCCCCTTGAATAGGTTAGGGTTTGATTTTGAAGAACTCTGAATTTCCCAAGGTCTGGGGGATGTCCGGCCTAATATTTGACTTGTAATTTCATCTCTTCTTGGCACGCTTTTATCTTTACCGGTCTCTTTGCTTTACTCTTTGAATGGTTGAATTTCCTTTCTTGCATGGCTGAAATTCTTGCCTGGTTGTTTTACCCGGTTGAATTTAAAAGTTGCTTGGTTTGAAGAATGTCCAGGTCTAATTGGCTTGCTAAAACTTTAAGAATCATTTGAAGAATGTCCAGGTCTAATTGGCTTGGTTGACAATTTCCCAGAACATGCTTGCTTCCAAGTCAATATAAGTAACTGGCATAGGCCTCCTGGTTAGATAACATTTTGAAAATGTCTAGGTCTTGTAGGCTTTGTTGAAAAATGTCTAGACCATATAATGTCCTGGTCAAATTCATCTCTTGAAAATGTCCAGGTCTTGTAATCTTGAAAACGTCTAGGTCCAGGGCACCTCATGTTTAACTAGTTTCTGGACCGGCTTATGTCTAGGTCGAGCTGCTACAAACGTCCAGGTCATCTCATGTCCTGGTGTAGTAGGTTAGGTTGAAAGTTTTGAAGATCACTTTAGAGGCAAGGCTTGAAAACTTCCAGGTCATCTCATGTCCTGGCCTCTTGACTTGAAAACGTCTAGGTCACGTCCATGTTGAAATGTAATAAGTTTCCAGGTCATCTCATGTCCTGGTTTATTAGGCTAGGTTAAAGTCTTGAAGGGCATTTTAGATGCACGGCTTGGAAACTTCCAGGTCATCTCATGTCCTTGTCTCCAGACTTGAAAATGTCCAGGTCACTTTGCTCCTTGCTTGTCTCCTGATCCGGTTATCTTCCAGATGGAAATGTAATAAACGTCTAGGTTGAATTTGTTCTGATCAACTTCCAACGGCCTGGTTGCACTACGTAACCAGCATGACGTCCAATTTTCTGTCCAGGTGCCGGGTCAAAAATGTGACCGGTCAAAACGGGAGGTTTTCAGATTTGCCTGATTTCATCAAAACCGCTAACTAAAAAAGTGACCGGTCACTTTTCTCAAAGTTGACCGGTCAGATTTTAATTTTTTCCCATTCGCATTTTCTTGCCAATCCAGAACATTAAAAAGTGACCGGTCACTTTTGACCATGCCACTTTCCTTTACCCATTTGGCCTGGATGTCATGCCTAAAAGTAACCTTGCTCAAATTTCGAACGAATAATCCGAATCGGTTTTGGAATCATTAAGTCTCAACATCAAGATCTGAACCTTCTTCGGAGATTTTGACCATGTCCTATGATCGCGAACCCTCTCCAAGGTTCAGCCCTCTTCAAGGCAACACCCTTCTTCCAGGGCCCCTCTTCCAGGTTTTAAGTCTTTTAATGTGCCATTCTTTAATCATTAGGTTGACCTAGCCAACACAATCTTCCCATCGTGGGGGTATGCCGGTGAGAACCAGCCCTCATCCAATCTTACATGTCCATATCTTATGCGTTTGAAGTGAACTCTAGTCTTCCCTAGACCCTTCAATCCGCAAAGGATGGCTCATGCAAGACGGTAAACGTTTTTTTATTTTGGCATCTTTTCGCCCCTATCCAAACAAAAATTTGGTAGGGATCCATGTAAGTATGGATGCGAGTCCTCTTCCAGACCCAGCCTATCTCAAGGCTATACCTCAACATCAAGGCCCCTATCTCAAGGGTTTTTTTTTTTTGAAATTTTGACCTTGCCTCTTACATCAAGACAAGTTATTTTTGCATCACTGACCCAACATCACTTGTATTGAAGAAAGCTTTTATTCATCATTGAAGGGGTATTACAAATGCATGCCCTGCCAATTTGGCCTACCGGTAGAATTTTCTAAGGTGGTGGGAATTCCAGCACCTTTCCAATTCTCTACCTTCCATGGTTTCTAACTTGTACGTCCCAGGGCGTAATATTGCTGTGACCCTATATGGGCCTTCCCATTTCTTTGCAAGCTTTCCCCCGTCTCCCGGTTTGCTGGCCTCCCTTCGTCTCAAGACCTCATCACCCACCTGGAAATAGCGAGGCCCTACCTTGTTATCATGGTAGGCCTTGGTTGCTTGCTGATACTCTATCATTTTAGCCTCAGCGACCATCCGTCTTTCCTCCAGCAAGTTCAGTTCTGCCATATGGTCTTCTTCATTCCCTTTCTCCTCATAGATCTTTTCCCGGAAGGTCATTATTTTTGCTTCGATGGGTAGTCTGGCCTCACACCCATATGTAAGGACAAAAGGTGTCTCCCCTGTGGCCTTTCTCGAAGTGACCCGGTAAGCCCAGATGATATGTGGCAACTCCTCTAGCCAATTTGTTCCTGCCTCACCCAACCGCTTTTTAATCCCATCGACTATTGTGCGGTTCGCATTCTCCACCTGACCATTCCCTTGCGGGTAGGCCACGGAAGCCTTGTTGTGAGTAATCTCGAAGTCCTCCAAGTATTTGCTGAACCCTGGATTCCGAAATTGAGGCCCGTTATCCGTCACAATGTTTCGAGGATAGCCGAACCTGGTGATTATATTCTTCCAGACGAAGCGTTGGCACTGCTTGGTTGTGATGGTTGCATATGCCTCGGCCTCTACCCATTTTGTGAAGTAGTCGATAGCAACCATGACATACTTCTTCCTCCCTTGTGCTTGGGGGAAGGCTCCAATGATGTCCATCCCAAACCTTGCGAATGGAATAACATTGGAAACTGGGTGGTAGTATGTCGCAGGCCTTCCCGGAAACTTGTAGAACACCTGGCAAGTCTTGCACCTTTGCACGTACTTCTCACAATCTTGGTTCATTGTAGGCCAGAAATAACCTAGCAA